ATCATCTCTCTCTCTTTTCCTCTCTCTTTCTGTCTCTCTCATTATAGGAACACCAGTTTGATGGCCGGGCTCAAGACCCCAGTAAGTTTAATCTCCAGTTGGTTTTAATTCATCTTGACCTCCAGAGCATAGAAAAATCAGTCAATAGAAAAGATATAAATTCTCAATTTCCCATAAACGAACTCTTGTATATAATTGCAAAAAAAAAAAAAAGGAAATACCAGAGTTCATCTTTTGGCTAAAGCTGGATTTATTTGAAAGAGGATGAGAGCTGCAGTTGCTGTGTCACATCACTTATGCTCCTACAGAGACTGCAGGGCTTTGGCAGTTGAAAACCTTTGTTACTGTATATTGTTGGTTTCCTTACACATAATAAGGAATGATTGCCAGAGACCATACTGGATTTATGCCATTGTTATGCTCTGCAGAGGACTTGGTAATACACTACCGTAATGTCTTGCTGGGAAGTCTGACTTTAGATGAAGGACGCCCTGTCTGTGCCCTTTCCCATCATTGTTAACACTGACTTGTGCTTTTTAAAAAATTCTAGAGAAAAATTATATGAGAATAGTCATTGTATTACATGGGAATAGATGATTACACAAATGTGCACATTGGTTCTCATTCAGCTCTTTAGTCACTTTTATCTCTTTGTGGCCTGATGGACATTCTTTTGCCTAAGCTGTCTATCAGAAACTCTTATATTTTTGTAAGCTGATGCTTGTGTCATCAGTGACAGTTTTTTCCTGCTCGTCTGACCCCTTTTTTAGCTGCAGTCCACCACAAGTCATTCAGATACAGTCGTGGCAAAAAAATCCCCCCACTCCCATCACCTCCATGTGCTAGGTAGTTTTCTTGACAGACTCACATTAGTGATTTGCCTGTTTTTTTGAAATCCAGCCTCACTTGCAGTCCTTGTATTCTCTGCCGGTTTTGCATTCAAGTATTAAGCAGCCCAACCTTATGTGGCTTTGAAAAAAAAGAAGTTTTGCCAGATGATGTTACCCTCTGTAGAGCATGTAAAAAGGATGAATAAATTAAATGCCTATTGGTGGCTCTCTAGGAGTTTTCTGGGTCTGTGCAGTGTTACAAATTCAAACCATTTCATATTTAGAAGTGAAATTGATAGCAACTCTGGATAAATTGCTATTTTCTCCAATTCTGAAGAGGAACAGCTTCTAGGTTTTTCATGATTTTATATAACATTATGAAATTGAGGTTACCTCTGTCTTAGAGCTGTGTTTGAAGATGGGCAGCTCTACAAAAATAGAGCAAAAGATAGGAAGGTAACACCAAAACAAGCAAAAAAAATAACACTATCTCTTGTTTTTTGAAGTCTCTGGCCAGTATTACTTGTTTGACAGCAGCACTGGAGCACGGCGTTGGGTGTGAGCATGGAGGAAAATGAAGACCCAACTTTCTGGACACCAGTAACTCTCTGTCTAGTATCTGATGTATCTGCTGATATGGTAGCACAAGAGTAGCTTTCCATTAGTTACATGCATTTTAATAATCAGAGGTTGCCACTTTCCTTTCTTTTTTTGCTATTCTGGTTTTTATGGTTATTTGATCGGTGAAAAGTTCTTTCCACTAATTATGGTACTCCCATGTCTGGAAATTCTCCATATTATGGGAGATGGTAACAATGGTCATATGGTACTAGATGAAACATCAACCATTTGTCCCCCTTCTTACAAAGCCATGTGTCTTTGAGAAAGTGCTGTATTAAAGGCTTTTTTTAGTGTTGCTTGAATGCAGTGGAATTGTATGTGGACTACAGGATCTGGTTCAAAAACAAAGGGCAGCAATTGAATTTAATATTAAATTATATCTCTGGTTAGGCATATTCATTTCTGTTGTAGCTCGGTGGTTCTGAAGTTTTCTGGCATTTCACAATATAGCATCATGTACATATTTCTTTCCATCAATTTCATTTCTCTTGCTGATCATTGGGGATGCTTGAATAACTGAGAAATAATAAAAGAATTATGCATAGCAACAATTGGTTGGGTGAGTGTTCCAAAGTCAAACACAGCAACATGGGATACAGTAACTGTAATTTTCTAATAGTTTATTCAGTGCAAGTTAGGTTGTATTCATGGTGGGGCATATTTTTTCCAGGTGCTCCCTAGACAAAGCTGTACTCATACTAGTGCTATTATAATATAATAAAGTGAATAAAAAAAAGAAAAACTTTCCCTGACAGACGAAGTTATCAGAAGTCAGACATTTTTAGGACATGAAATAACAACTTTCAGACTAGCTGTGGTCCAAATGCCCGCCAGTTGATTCCCTTTCTGCTTCAAGGGGGATGTGTTGTATTTGGAATAGGGAAGAGAGTGGAAAGTCTTCTGAGTGCAGCTTTCTGTTCAAAACTTGGGAATTAGTACTGCAGCTTGCCACTAACTTTTAACTAAACCTATTCTCCTTTATATCCTAACAAAATTCTGTATACAATGGCCAATGATGGTATTTACAGCATTGTATTATTTTAAATATTTGGATATCATTTAGATATTATCTACAGTCTATGGTAACAGGTTGTGGGGGGGGGTGCAGTAGTGACCAGGACAAACTTGTGATGTGAAAGTGCCCTCTGCTGGAGCACCCAATTGAAACAACTTGATTTGTTACTGGAAGTAATATAAGATTATACATTAGGGATATGTAAATTCTCGGTGGTGCTCAATAAAGTAATTAATTGCTTAATTAAGCACAAGTAATTAATGACAAGTAAATATGTTTATATTTCTATTGGATAGGATTCTATAATTTCTTTTAATAAACTACCGGTATGTTTAATTGTTAAATATATTGAAATGCATAGTGGAAAAAAGAAATTATTGAAATAGAAAGTAGAAAAAACAAAAAAGACTGCTGTATTTGAAATAAAAGAAAGCATGGTGAAATTAAGCCAATTGTATATATTTCTTATCAACCTGAGCAGCTGCTAGCCGAAGCTGAAGCAAGTGAGAGAAGCTGAACAAACAACAAATGAACTCAATAATAACAAATGAATAAGAGCTAAAATAGAGAGTGCCTATTAGGAGTATGGGTATCCAGTAAAAGTCAAAATGATATTGAACTACATAGTAAGGACAAGATTAAATTACCAATATTTTACTATGTGTATTGGCTGACACAATTGTAACTTAATCCTTTCTGGAGAAAGGATATAAAGGAATAGGCACCAAAGGCACCATAACTACTTTTGAAAAATTAATAACTATCCTTCTTGATTTAAAGGAACAATCTTAACAAATTATAGGTTATTATTGAAATTGGAATTAGGTAACCTCTATTATTACTCTTCTTGACAGTTAGCTTATATACTACTTGCAGACTCAAGGGTTCTTATCTTAAAATACTACCTACTAAGAAGCAAATTGAAAAAGCATTTTACATTTAACTTTTACACTTCTACTTTTAAATTTGTTTCCATATTAGTTGACAACTATTACATTGGATGCCGAATGCGGGATCCTATATAGGTATCCAGTTAAATCTGTTAAGTTCTATGTATTTAAGATTTCCAGAAAGGAATATTCTGTGAAATTTTATTACAGTCAGATGTTTCATATATGCAATTGTGTGTAGGGTGGAAGGCTAATATAAAGCTTTCACATTCAATTGACTTTTAGATGAGTGAAAAGCACTTTCTGGATACATGCAGGAAATGTGGCTGCAATATGAATTTCAGTAAAAAGACCTACAATTTAAAATATTTTACTTGGATTGGTACTTCGTATGTGAACTTACTTTCTAATACTGGTGAAACTGCCATGTTCAGAAACACTCTTGTCATTGCCTTGGTCAAAAACAAGGTTCCTTTAATCTCATTTGATGGGCAAATATTGTATTTCTCCCTGCTTTCTCGTTTAGAAAACTAGCAGGAAGGCCACACCAATTAGATTACATTGTGATACCTTGCATTATTGTCATAGGCGAGCTCATTTTCCTGCTGTGACCTACTTTTTAAAAAATCTGGTTAGTTGTAATGAACAATATTAAACATATTGTCCTTAATAATTAAAATAGTTCCAGATGTCCATAGCCTCTTCCTTTAATACTGGCCAAGAAAACTTCATGATTTTAGTACTTGGGGTTTTTCCAACAAAAAACCCCAATCAGGAGTAAAATATATCTACAGCTATGAGCAACTTATCATTTACCTGCATCTCTCGTTGCTGCAGTTTTGAACTGAATTTTGATTAAATTTGATTAAAAAAAATAAAAATAAAGAGGACAGAGAAATGTTCTGTTTTGTAAATATATAAATTAACTGGTGGGTTGGGATGTGTGCAATGGATTCCATTTGACCTGAATAATTTACCATACTAGGACAACCACAAGTTGGCAATAGAGAAATTTAGAAAATACTTTGTTTTTGCATAGACCAGACCAAATTCTGTTAGTAAGTCTGGTAGTGCTAGCACATATATTCAGTTATTACTTACTGTAAACGCTTTAAAGCTATGAACTTTTTTTAAATGAAATTTAAGACAATCTTAGAGGGCATGTTTTGACAGCCGGGATAAGACTGGAGTTTATAAAACATTTAGAATATCTCCTAAGAGATAAGATAGTATGAAAAATATGTCATGCCAGAGTTCAGAAGCTAAGCGGCGGAAAGTTAGCTTAAGAATCACTTTCCTAGGAAGGCTCAGAGGTCAACTGTTAAAAGAGCAGCCTCAAGACAGAGGGACATACGGAATAGCAGCGAAAGGCTTTTGTGATTGGCTGGTGGGTCACTCCTCCTTAGCCAATAGGAAATAGCCCCCGCAAAAGATTGGTTTCGTCACATTTGCGCAGCGTGCGTTGGAAAACCGGAGACGGGAAAGAAGGCGCAGAGAATTTGGAGAAGTGACGGATACGTCATCCAATAAAAATGAGAACCAATAGAAAGCTTGGAATGCATCAACATGCGATTGGTTTAGCTTCCTTGGAGGTGGACCTCGGGCACCACGGTTGCTATGACGGCAGAATGCCCACCTTCCCGGCGCCGCCATCTTGTTGTTGATTCGAACTGTAAGGGAGCAGGTGAGGGAAGTCTTGAAGCCGGCCTGGGGGGGGGAACCCAGCAGCAGCGCCCCCCGGCCAGGCAGGGGGAAATTTTACGTTGGTGAGTTTCGGGCCCTTGTTCTTCGTAGGAAGCGATCCGGACCCAAAAGGGAGGGCGCCTCTTCCGAATAGGATGTGGGAGGGAATCGGGGAGAGTGAATGAGTGCTGGTAGGGAAAAGGTAAGGCCGGTTCGCGGGGTGGTGGATCCCGACGGGTAGGACAGCCGAGCCGCCTGCCTGAGGGCTGCTGCCGAAGCCCGTGAGGGGAGGAATAGGTATCCTCACGACGACGACTATTCTCCTGGAGCTGCTCAAGAGAAGTCTATGGCACAGGTGTCTGTTGAGCAGCTTCCCCCGTTTGGCGCCCTCTAGACGAGTTTACGGAGCTGCTTCACCTGAGATCCCATCATCCCTGACCGGCGCTCTGCGGGTCGGGTGGTGGAATATAACCCAAATAGGGAGGGCGACGGGGAGGGGAAGCAGTGATAGAAGCCGAAGAAGTTGTGGTTTTGGGCTCAGCCGGTTTCTGAGCGCTCTTTGAGGAAGCCTGGCTGTGAGATTCAGCGGGTCGTTTTGGAGTGAGGGCTTGCAAGGAATGATAGGGGCAGAGGTTGGTGACATCTGCAGGAAGATAGGTGGTTGTGTGTGTGTATGGGGGAGAGTGTGCTGAGGCTAGAGAAACTTTTGCTCAAAGGGTACTTGGGATGCCATAAACTTTGTCCCATCCACCAGGAGGACTAGCAAGAACAGTATTCAGTTTTAAAGTGGCCTAAATTTATTGAGAAATTTGTGTTGGGTTTTGGCAGGAGCCTTTTGGCTTGGAACTTCCATTCTAACAAAAAATACATCTTGGCCCCAATCCAAAACATTGTGGGAAATAGCAAAAAGGTTTTCCTCCATGGGCAGTGAATATTTTATAGTTGTGAAATAAAATAATAGAAAATGAATATATATATATATATTTGGCTGACGTTTGATTATATAACACTTCTCTTTGGGCAACTAGTACTGAACTATGATGAATTGGACAAAGAGTAACTTTTTGGGTTGCCTCTAAGTATTGCAAACTGTTTTTCCCCATTGATACATTAATCATTTTAACATTATACATATGCTTATCCTCTACCGACTTGAAACAGTTTCAGATATTTAGAAAGTGTTGATAATTCTTCATTAAAATGGTTTTGTATAATGTTAATTTTATTTATCAAATTCATTTGCTCTCCATTTCACAGTTCAGGGCAACTTTGAACGGCTTACAACAAGATAAAACGATTAAACATTCAACAGTTATAAATATAAAAACTGATTAAAATTGCACAAAAATAAAACAAAGGAAAAACAAGAGTTTGGAGGGGAGAGGTGGGGATGCATTGTCTATTAGTGCATAAGCAACTCCAGCGAACAGCTTCTCCTTCAGTCTCCATGTCAACTGGCATGGCCAGGTTTTTTTGTTTTTTGTTTTGGCTGAAAGAGAGGGGGTGGATCTTACCTCCTGGCGGCAAGATATTCCAAACAGCAAAAGCTGTGGCAGAAAAGGATTTTCTGCTGTATCCCACCAGCTGAAATTCCTTAGTTAATGAGATTTGCAGTTAGGCCCCCTTCTGCCAATACGGGTGGGGCAGGCCAATTCCTCTGGGGAAGGACAATTCTGCAGATACTCTAGACCCATGGCATGAAAGTCTTTAAAGGTAGTAACAAGCATCTTGAATTGACCAAGAAGCAGATTGGCAGCCATTGCACTTGCATAACAGTGATATTATATGTGCCACCCTAGGGACCTCCAAAACTGTACTTGCTGGACCAGTTGAGGCTTCCAAATGCTCTTTAAATAAGAGTAGCCCCATGTATAACATGTTGCAATAATCTAAGCAGGAGATTACCAGGACATGAATGACTGAGCACAGGGCCTCATGATCCAGCAAAGGGTACAATTGCCGCACCACATGAAGTTGTGCAAAGGGTTTCCTAGCCATGACTGCTACCTGTTCTTAGAGCAGGAGTCACAAGTGTAGGAAAACTTAGCATCTTTATTATGAAGTGCATGTGAGTGTGCCTAAAATCAGCTAATTAATTGCCTGGAACTATTTTTTTTTTAATAAACAGCATCTGTTAAAATTGTGTGTGCGTGTGTTTGTATGTATGTATGTATGTATGTATGTTAAGTTTTCGTGGGTTTTATATGTATGGTATTCAGCTTTGTTGGGGTATTTTCCCACGTCATTATAGTTTGCTTTTAAAGTTGTAGCAACGTTTCGGCAGAATCCTATCTGCCATCATCAGGCTTCTGTATTGTGTTCGTCTGTGAGTCAGACGTTCACAGCCGTTTCTGTTTTAAATTTGGGGCTAGCCTACTGCTGTGCCAGAATGTTTTTTTCTTCATCCTGATTGGTTGGGAGTCTTAGTCTGTGTTTATTGGTCTTGGAGTTTGCTGTGTTCTGCTTGATTGGTGTTTCTAATATCTTCTGTCTGTTTTCTAGCTTTTTTTGTCTTGATTGGCTAGCAATATTGTGTTTCCTGTATTGGAGACTTTTAGTGCGACTTGGCTCCGAGTAAAAGGACAGCTATCCTAATAAATGCTTCCTAGCTTCCTAATAAATGAAGCCATCCATTTACTTGGAGCCAAGTCCCACTAAAAGCCTCCAATACAGGAAACACAATGTTGCTAGCCAATCAAGACAAAAAAAGCTACAAAACAGACAGAAGATATTAGAAACACCAATCAAGCAGAACACAGCAAACTCCAAGACCAATAAACACAGACCAAGACTCCCAACCAATCAGGATGAAGAAAAAAACATTCTGGCACAGCAGTAGGCTAGCCCCAAATTTAAAACTGAAACAACTGTAAAAGTCTGACTCACAGACGAACTCAATACAGAAGCCTGATGATGGCAGATGGGATTCTGCCGAAACGTTGCTACAACTTTAAAAGCACAACTATAATGATGTGGGAAAATACCCCAACAAAGCTGAATACCATATGTAT